ACCGCACAAAAGCAGCTTCGACTGTATTTAACAAATTCTGTTTTTTTATGGATTTTACTGCATATCATATGAATAGACAAAGTACAAACAAATGAGAACCAATTAAAAAAAAATGCTTATGGTAATTTTAATCGCCCCGGCATTGCCCCGAGGGCGTCGTTGATGAGCTGTTCGATTGGAATGCAGAGTGGCACAAGCATCTGGGACAACTATCTTCAAAGACGACATTGTTTACCTATTACTCAGCATTTTTTTCGTGGGAAAATCTTTTAGCACGTTCACCTCAGCTGTATAATTTGCATTTATCGCTGCGAGGCAAAGGTTTTGTTCATTTTGCTTTTTTTTTGCTGCGCTTAAATATATGGTGGTTGTAAAAAATTTTTCGATTTCTGATTTCATACGATTTTACAATTAGTATAGCTACCAACTTGAACATCTCTTTTTCGTAGCGCTGTTCTAAGCGTCACCTAAAAAATGCACTCGTTGCAAATAGTTAAACAATTTTTTTCATTATTTTAAAGGGAGTTAATAAAAACCAAAGAAATTTTTACGACATACTGTATAAACTCTTGTTCTGAGAAATTTGTAGAAATTAAATAGATTAAGGAAGAGATTAATAATATACGTTTTGTTGAATTCAAAAGTGTTTTTATATAAACTGTTGTAACGATAAATGATATATTTTTAATAATTCCAACTTTCATACATGATTTGTTGAAATATTATAGTGAAAATGATTTACTATATGCTTCTTTTTAAATTCCAATGGTAATCGTTAACATCTTATATAACACGTTACCTAGTTAATATTTAATAATCATATACTTAATTAAAAGATAATAATTGGTTGTTTTGGCACTGATATAGAACTGATATTGAACTAATATTGTTCAAAAAATACGTAATAGAGAGTAATTGACCAACGTTTCCTCGTGATTGGCATCCAATTACACGGTTCTTACAAATTGGCCTCGATTCGATGCACTCTTTTCATTATCGATGTAGACTTGGATTATATCCAAACTTCCAAGTGATCCTATTTGTAAAGGAAACCTGGAAAGCATCTTCAATGGATGCTTTACTTTCTCAAAAGTTTGCAATTAATATTTCTTGAAAATATATTTACACATAGATGTTGAAAATATTGTAATTAACAATATTAATAATTTTCAAAATTTACAACTTGAACATTTTAATGGCGATAAAGTTTTTTCTAATAAAGAAAGAATTGTTTACTATAAAAATTTTTATCAAATCAGTAAAGGAACAAGTGAAATCAACTCTTTCAATTGATAGTATCGTTAGTGCACTGTTATACTATTGGAAATATTCATTAAAAAATAATTACATTTATATAAAAAATATCTTCCATTTGCAGAGCAAGAAAAATGCTTCCCATACGCATTATAAAGTCTGAATAAAAGAAATTATTGTGAATAATTATAAAAATAATGATACAAGACTGACATTTTTTGCAACTAGCTTAAAAAAAATTGTTTTTTTATGTTTCAACAGATTTATGAAAATCTATTTTTTATGTTTCGTCATTGTTGTTGTTGTTATTGTGAGATTTACTTTGAATAATCTAGTTATTAGAATTGATTTGTGTTTATGTAGACAAGCTCACGCAAACAAATCATCGTCACATGGTTTGATTGGTTTCAAAAAGTTTGGTATTATTTTAATTTTGTGGTCACAATAATTGCTGAAAGGTACAACCAACTTATAATACCTTATCCTATAATTATAACTACGACATTATTATTAGTTTATGGTTTCACAATTAAGTGAAATCTCATTCACTGGCTGATATTACAAAATGTAAATTGATAATAAGTGAATTATTATAGTGAAAAAAAAAGAGTATCGGAAAACCATTATCACCATTTCGTGCCTTTTTAGCTTACAGTATAGGTAAATAAGGAGTGTAATTAATGTGTACATAAGTATTTACATATATATAAGGGTGGGAATTTATACTTTTTATGTGAGCAATGAAAATGGTTCTGTTGTCACATGGTAGCGTGGCCGAGCGGTCTAAGGCGCTGGTTTAAGGCACCAGTCTCTTCGGAGGCGTGGGTTCGAATCCCACCGCTGCCAGTTTTTTTTTCAAATTTCTTACATTTTTCGTGATATCAATGAGACAGATGCAAATTGGATTAAAAGAAATACTGGACTATTTTTAGTACACAAATGTTGCGATATAATTCCATTCATAATACGGCAATGAGCACAATTTAGGAATACTAGTTTTGAGTAATTAAAATAATCAAAAAACGTTTATTGATAATTGTAAAAAAGTGTTTTTCTTGAAGTATTTAAAAATAACTCGAAACAGTATCGCAATTGATGATTTCTTAATTTTAGCGGTATGTATTTGATATGGATTGAAATTCTTAAAGTGTTTTGGTCAAAGTTTAATATTGGATATTACTATTATTTAAATTAAACTACGGATTTTACACGTCACTTTATATATAATAAAATAATTTAATAACGTTTCTGTTTCATTGTATTTCTAACGAGATTTGTTAACGATTGTTAACGATTTTATAAAACGCTTTATAATGAACAAAAAATCGACAGATTAATATTTGAAATTTCACCAGCAAAATCAACGAAAATTCCTTTCATTTTACTTGGGACAGCCTAAAAAATTCTTTCCTGTCAAAATCGTTCGCATAATTGTCACAATATTAAATATTGCATAATATAATTATGTAGTAACATCAACGATTAACAAAAATTAATATTATTAATAACATTGTAGTAACACTAATTAATTAAATTAGTAACTAATAATATATATTTAATTAACCCATCAACATTTCACAAAACCTTTTTCTCGGAAATAGGGGTGTGACTATTATTCTGAGCCGTTCGTATATAAAACGCTCAAGTTTCTCCACGGCACTAAACGTGTTAAAAGAATTAAAACGCGCTGAATAATATTAACAATTATCTG